AGGGATGGGACGTATCTTGGACGCCTCTTGGGGGCGTCTTGGGTCATCTGGAGACCATCTCGGGTGTCTTTTTATCGCTCTTGGACCGTCTGGGACCATGTTCAGCTCTCTTGGAAGCACTTGGAGCGCTCCTGGAGCGCTCTTGGGGCCGTCTTCGGGGCTCTCCTGGGCCGTCTTCGGCGCCTCTTGAGCCGTCTTGGGGCCCTCTTGGGCTGTCTTGGTGCCCTCTTGGAGGCTTCTTGGACCGTCTTGGGCCGGACTTGGGGGCCTCTTGGGCCGTGTGGGAGCATCGGAAAACCCAGAAGGCGAATTTATGAAAAAATGTACGTTTTACGAAGGGCATGGGCTCATTTTTGCGTCTAAAGGCCCTCTTGGGACGCATCTTGGAGGCCTCTTGGGGCCTCTTCGGGGCATCTTGGGCCGTCTGGAGGCCATCTGCGGTGTCTTTGATCGCTCTTGGACCATGTGGGACCAGTCTGAGCTCTCTTGCAGGCCACTTGGAGCGCTCCTGGAACGCTCTTGGGGCCGTCTTCGGGGCCCTCTTGGGCCGTCTTGGACGCCTGTTGGGCCGTCTTGGGGCCCTGTTGGGCCCTCTTGCAAGCTTTTTTGGCCGTCTTGGGGCGGTACTGGGGGCCTCTTGGGCCGTCTGGGAGCATCGGAAAGCCCAGAAGGCGAACTTGTGAAACACTGTACGTTTACGAAGGGAATGGGCTCATTTTGCCGGAAAGGGCTTTGGCCCAGGGTTCTCTTTTAGTATGTAAACATAGTCCCCCGTGCCCAACTTGAAGGAGGCCGGCGGATTCTTTCCTTTATAAATATCGAGGTCGAAGGAGGCCGGCGGATTAAAATTTGAGGATGTCTCAGGCGAAACGCTTGTTTTTGAAATCCCGATCGATAAATCACAGGGTGCGGGCCGCCTCAGCACGACCACACCCCAGCACGACCATGCCCCAGCACGACCACACCCCAGCACGACCCCGCCCCAGCACGACCCCAGCCCAGCACGACCACGCCCCAGCACGACCACACCCCAGCACGACCACACCCCAGCACGACCACACCCCAGCACGACCCCACCCCAGCACGAGCCCACCCCAGCACGACCACACCCAAGCACGACCACACCCCAGCACGACCACACCCAAGCACGACCACACCCCAGCACGACCACGCCCCAGCACGACCACTCCCCAGCACGACCCCGCCCCAGCACGAGCCCACCCCAGCACGACCACACCCCAGCACGACCTCACCACAGCGCGACCCCACCCAAGCACGACCCCACCCCAGCAAGACCACACCCCAGCACGACCACACCCCAGCACGACCTCACCACAGCGCGACCTCACCACAGCACGACCACACCCCAGCACGACCACGCCCCAGCACGACCACGCCCCAGCACGACCACCCCCCAGCACGGCCACCCCCTCAGCACGACCACCCCCCAGCACGACCACCCCCCAGCACGACCACACCCCAGCACGACCACACCCCAGCACGACCACTCCTCAGCACGACCACACCCCAGCACGACCACACCACAGCACGACCACACCCAGTCGCACTCCCGTGAAATGTTTCGTGGGGTGTCTCGTGGAATGCCGTCGTCGTCCTCGTCCGCGATGTGCTTTGGTTGAGTGGTTGCCTGTTCGTGGGGTGTCTCGTGGAATGTTTCGCGGGGTGTCGCGTGGAATGTTTCGTGAGGTGTCTCGTGGAATGTTTCGTGTGGTGTCTCGTGGGATGTTTCGCGGGGTGTCTCGTGGGATGTTTCTTGAGGTGTCGCCCAGTTGGGTATCGTGAAAACGTGACCGTGCTCCACATGTCTATATCCCTTTCCGGGTTCGTGGGTCCATCATGTTTGCGTCTAGAGGCCCTCTTGGGACGCATCTTGGAGGCCTCTTGGGGCCTCATGGGGACCTCTGGGGCCGTCTAGGAGGCCTCTTAGCCCGTCTTTGGGCCATCTTGGGCGTCTTGGAGCGCTCGTTTGGCGTCTCGGGGCCCTCGTGGCCGTCTGGGAGGCCTCTTGGGGCCTTCTTGGCTCGTCTTTAGGCCCTCTTGGGTCCGGAAAAGCCTCGTGGTGCGCTCGCGCCGGACCGGGGGGGGGGGTCAAAGTGCGCTCGCGCCGGGGCCGGGGGGGGGGGGGGGGGGGGGGGGGGGGGGGTGGGAATCTCCGGTTTGGGGTCCCTGGGGGGGGGGTTATGGGGGGGGAACTATCTCACACGCCTAGAGACCCACAAGGGGTCGGCGGATATCGAAAGGAGGAGGAGGACAAGGAGGAGGCGGAGGAGGAGGAAGAGGAGGAGGCGGAGGAGGAGGAGGAAGACAAGGAGGAGGAAGAGGAGGAGGCGGAGGAGGAGACGGAGGAGGAGGCGGAAAAGGAGGAGACGGAGGAGGAGGAAGAAGGGGAGGAGGAGGGCGATGGTGATGGTGGTGATGGCGGTGATGAGGGGTGGAAGGGAGGGATGGGGATAGGGGGGGAAGGGGAGAGGGGACGGAGCGGGGGGGGGGGCGGGAAGCGAGGGGGATGGACAAGGCGATGAGGAGGAAGGCGGGGGGGGGGGACGGAGGTGGAGGTGGAGGAGCGGCTACAGCACGGGGGCGTCGGGGGAGGAGGACGAGGAACGGCAGCAGCGGGGGCAGAGGACAAGGAGGAGGAGGAGGAGGAGGAGGAGGAAGAGGCTGACTCGGAAGAAAGCCATCGTAAACCCAAGATGTGTAAACCATGCTGCAATAAACCTTTCCGTCCCAAGTCCCCCCCCATTGGTCCTTGCAACACGTTTCTCTTAACGAAGCGCCTCCCTCGAAAGACGAGTGCCCCATGGGCCCGCAATTCAGGCGGGAGCTCCGTCTTGAAAGAAGCCGTCAGGCCATAAGGAAGATAACAAGGTCGGGCCCCCGTCCCCAATTTCAAGGAAGTCGCAAGCGACGGCCCCGCTTTGAAGAGGAACCGCCCTCCGTCCGTGAAGCTGTTGTCAGTTCTGGGTGATCACAGACTTTTGGTCGTAAACCACAACGAGTCGTGGACTTTCTCGTCCCTCCTGGGTGGCGAGGGCATCTGCTGCTTGTTGCAGCCCGCGCCTGCCGCACAGCAGGCCTCCAGCTGCCGAGGGTACTGCTCGGGGTGTTCGTCGAGGCCGGCCTCCAGCGAGGAGTCGGTCGAGTGGTCGATGACCTGCGGAGGGGAGGGGCCGTCGTTGACCGTGGGCGCAGGGTGCAACACCGAGGTTGCCACCGCTTCCTACGCCTTGAGCCTATCAGTCTGCTCCCTGTCGACCCCCGGGACGCGCTCCTCGACTTTCGCGTCCATCGTCGTCAACTTTGCTCGCGCCCGGGCGGCCCCTTCACAGGCGCGCGCTTGCTTCTGCTTCGCTTTGCGGACGCTCGGAAGAG